AATCCTACATTTGGTGAAAAGGCTCAGTGAGTAGAGGTGCTTGCAGGCAAGCCTGACACCCCGAGTTCAATCCCAGGGAACCCACATGGAGGAAGGAGAGAAGCCAGTTGCATATGTTGCCCTCTGGCCTCCACACACTTGCTGTGGCACACACACACACACACACACACACACACACACACACACACGCACGCACGCACGCACGCCCTGTAAATATAAAAATTAAAATCATATACTTTCTGCTTTGTTCACCATCAGCTTCTTGAATGTCTAGCGCTGGTTTAGCATCCGCTTCTGACTTGGAGGGACTCAGCCGCCTACGGTGTGGTCTGTGGATTGCTGCAGGCCTGGGTCGGCTGGAACTGAAGGTGCCACAGGCCTTAGGTTGACTATGAGGTGGTCTTCATAAGTGACTTCTCTTCTCCAAGGACAGCTGTTTCATCTCTTTCCAGAGTACATTTATGCCGTTTATCATATTCCTGTGAAGACCCAGTTGTTTTTTTAAAGATTCTTAAAAAAAAAAAAAAAAAAAAAAAGTGGGGCTGGAGAGATGGCTCAGTGATTAAGAGCACTGGCTGCTCTTCCAAAGGTCATGAGTTCAATTCCCAGCAACTACATGGTGGCTCATAGCCATTTGTAATGAGATCTGGTACCCTGTTCTGGCCTGCAGACATACATGCAGACTGAACACTGTGCATATAATAAATAAATCTTAAAAAAAAAATCCTCAACCCCCTCAAAGTTAAGAAATAAAAGTCAACCTCCTAAAAATTAAGAAAACAAAGATATATTTGTTTTCATTTTATGTGTACGAGACTTTGCTGCTTGTATAAGTGTACCACAGGCCAGAAGAGGGCGTCCGATCTGCAGGGGAGTTACAGACCATTGTGAATGTGGGTGCTGGGAAATGAACGCAAGTCCTCTGTATGAGCAACAGTGCTCTTAATCACTGAGCCATCACTTCAGCCCCTCTTTGAATATTCTTTAAAAGATGAATTCCCCTCGGCCCTCAGAGGAAATTGAGAGGATTAATATTTCAGACTCTGCAATCACCTTGCCATTAGCTGGAAGTAATTTTTTTTCAACCTGATTCTTTTATGTCTGTTTGCAGAGAGTGCATATTCTACATATTCTACCTTCGAAGATCACTTCTGACAAGGCCCCATTTGAAGTCTTTCAGTAACTTAAATGGGACCTTTAGGGTAGTTCTACTGAGGGTGGCAACAGCTGAATCTTGTCTATTACACACACACACACACACACACACACACACACACACACACGCACACGCACACGCACACGCACACACACGCGCACGCGCACGCGCACATGCACACGCACACGCACACACAAGTCTCAATGTAGACACATCCCGGCAGCCTAGATCAAAACTTTTGACAGACCAATTTTTCCCTTTGTTATCTGTTGTTCCCTCCCTCCTTCCCTCCCAATCTTCTTTTCCTCCTGCAGATGGTTTCACTGTATTGTCCCGTCCAGTCTGGAACTCCTGAGCTCCAGTGGTCCTTCCTGCTGGTATACGTGTGTAGGCCCAAGGCCAATGTCGGGTGTCTTTTCTCAATCTTCCTCTTCCTTTACGTTTTGAGGCAGGGTCTCTCACTGGTTTTGAAGCTCAGGCAGGCTGGCCACAGGCTTCAGGGATCCACCTGTCTCCACCCTGCACCAAAGCTGAGGTTACAGGCACACACCACTATGCTGCGGCTTTTTTGGTGGGTTATGAGGATCCGAACTCAGGGCCTTGTGCCTGTATGGCAGGTACTTTACCAATGAGACATCTCCCCAAGTCCCAAATGTTTCTTTCTTCCTGATTTGGTGGGTTCATCCCTGGACTTTTCCGTTTTTGTTTTTTCTTCTTTTCACTTACCTTTGCAGTTCTTGGTTTCCCGCTGTCTGTGATCTCAAAGGCGACTGTTGTAGGCTTATTGTCTTTGCTGTTGTGACATTGTCCCTTTGGTCCTGGACTTGGGGCTGCTTCTGTCACCACCCTAAAGTTCACCTTGCAGCTTCCAAGTCACACTAGCTGTTTCTGAGATCGGCGTGTGGCACTCTGAGCATTTTTTGTCAGGAGGAAGCAGCTTGCCATTTTGCATTTCTTTTAAGCCTCCTGCAGCAGGGCTGTTCTGCCATTCTGCACTTAGCAGAGTTACGTGGGAGACCTGAACTCGAGACCTTTGCTGGAAATTCCACGGCACAGTCCTAGGAGGCACTTACCACGTTACAGGGGTCTCGTCTTGGTTGGGGTTACTATTGCTGTGATGAAACACCATGACCAAAGCAACTTGGGGAGGAAAGGGTTTATTTCACTCACAGTTCCATATAACAGTTTATCATCAAAAGCAGTGAGGGCAGGAACTCAAGAGGAACCTGGATGGAGGCAGGAGCTGATGCAGAGGCCATGGAGGGGTGCTGCTTACTGACTTGCTTCCCATAGCTTGCTCAGACTGCTTTCTTATAGAACCCAGAACCACCAACCCAGGGATGGCCCCACCCACAATGGGCTGGGCCCTCCCCCATCAAACATTAATTTAGGAAATGCTTTACAGGCTTGCCTACAACCCGATCTTATTCTCAATTGAGGCTCCCTCCTCTCAGATAACTTTAGCTGTGTCAAGTTGACATAAAACTAGCCAGCGCAGGTCTAAAGCACTCATCATGGGAGAGGTGCTTTCTTGGGTCTCTGTGACATAACCTAAGAAAAATTCATACACAGGAAAGCACAAAACTCTTAAGAAGCTAAGTCAAGTAGTGTGCCTTAAATGTTTAACAGATAACACTCAATAAAGGGTCTGTCTCTCTGTCTATGATAATGTCTACATGTCTATATGTATAGCTTTTCTTTTAAATAGGTGTTACAAAGAGTTTGTGAATAGTATTCCACTTAGGATCTTTAAAATACCCAAATTTGGGGCTGGGGTGGGATGAGGTAGGGGTCAATGGGTAAAGCGTTTGTGTGTGAGTGCAGATCTGAGTTGTCCCCCCCCACACACTCACATAAGAGCTATGCACAGTGGAGGACATCTGTAGCCACAGTGAGTTCCAGGTTCAGTTAGAGACTCTGTCTCAAAAAACAAATGAAGGGGGGTGGGGAAGGTGAGAGTGACAGAGAACTCTCGACACCTCCTCTGCCTGCACACCTGCACACACAATCTACACACATGCACACAACTCCACCACTCCCCACCCAAAAATGTCCAGATCTTTTCCTCTCCCATGCTCCCTAGAAAGCTGTAGTAATGAGAAAAGGCCAAGGAATGGGAATTATCTTGTCAGCGATGAGATAGTAAAGAAATAAGCCGCAAGGGTGTGTGATGTGGAATTCTTTGTGACCCAGGAAGACACTTGGAAGCCTAAATGTTTGTTATAGGCTTCTGGTTGAGTGAGTGGTGTTCAATCTACAGATTAAATTCAGGGAGGCTATTAGAGAGAGAGAATTGAGTCACAGATACTAATATGAAACAATTTCTAAGAAATATTGTTCACTGGAAAAGCAAGGGACAAAACCGTAGCTAGAAAGGTTGTTTTTTTTTTATTTCAAAGACACCATACTTATGCACAGGTATGAAAATATGATTATAACTGGAAACTCCTGGAGAAAAATTGCAAGCAGCTGTTACACATGGTTATCTCTGGACAGTACGACTGAGAGCCTGGGGTACAGTGGAGGCATGTGCTTTTGGATTCTTCGGATATTTTATTGAATGCCCAAATTGCTCTTTCAGCTATAAAAAAATTCTAATAAATAACATAAGCTAAAAGCAACATCCCAACCACCGGTACAAGGTGCTCTCTGGTGGTAGACCCCATCAACACCCCTTCTTCTACATCTTGGGCTCTCTCTCCCGGCAGCCAGGACCTTGGGGACCATGAAGGTGAGACAGAAGCAGAGTTGGAGCACTCTTAGCTGTGCTTGTCCCCCATCTGTACATTTTATTCAATTAGTTTCGTGTTTATGTGCATGAGCATTTTCCTTCTGTGTATGTATATGCATGAGCATGCTTGATGCCTGTAGAGGTCAGAAGAGGGCACTGGATCCTCTGGAACTGGAGGTAGTCAGTTGTGAGCCTCCATGTGGGTCCTGAGAATCAAACTCAGGTCCTCTGCAAGAGCAGCCCATGCTCTTAACCATGGAGCCACCTCTCTAGTCCCAATTTTTTTTAATTTAAATTTATATTTTTAGATGGTTTCAGTATGTATTACTGTCTGGCCAACCTCAAACTCATCTCTGTGCCTGCTTCTGCCTCCTTTGTGCTGGGAATAAAGGTGTGTGCCTCCACAGCTAGATTAAAATCTGTAGCCCTGGCCAGAATTCACCGTCTTCTTACTTCAGCCCCTCAGCATATCTACCAGTATATGCTGCTACAATGGACTTTCTTTCCTTCTTTCTTTCTTTCTTTCTTTCTTTCTTTCTTTCTTTCTTTCTTTCTTTCTTTCTTTCTTTCTTTCTCTCTCTCTTTCTTTCTTTTAAAAATTTAGTGTGTGTGTGTGTGTGTGTGTATGTGTGTGTGTGCTGTGTGTGTGGTGTGTGTGTGTGCTGTGTGTGTGTGCTGTGTGTGTATGTGTGTATGTGTGTGTGTGCTGCTCAGAGGTTGATAGCAGGCGTTTCCTTCAGTCACCCTTCATTTTATATACTGAGGCAGGATCTCTTTCCTTAAACTCAGAGCTCACCAATTTACCAATTTGACTACTCTAGTTAATCAACTTGTTCCAGGAAGCTTGGTCTCTTCCCATGAAACAGTATGATGAGTGGGCCACTCTGCCCATTCAGCGTTAGGGGGGATTCTGGGGACCTAAACTCCAGCCTTCGTACTTGCATAGCAAATGTTTTGCCCCCAAGCCATCTCCCCAGCCCCGTGTTCTGTGTTTATTCTTGCAGTGCATTAAGCATGGATTGCTAAATGCTCATCCTTCTCCGCCAAGTTGTTTTAGTGTCCATCAGTTCAAGGGGGTGAGAGGAACTCTCTTCTCTGCTGTTGGTTTTGCAGGCAGGAACATGAGCCGCCTAGACACGAGTAGCAGCTGCTCGTTCGATGCCGTGGATAAGCTGATGAGTACCTTGCAGCTGGCCGTCCACATCCCAACCTTCCTCCTTGGCCTGGTCCTCAATCTATTGGCCATCCGAGGCTTCAGCACCTTCCTGAAGAAGCGGCAGCCAGAATACATCGCCACTTCCATCTACATGATCAACCTGGCTCTCTTTGACCTGCTGCTTGTGCTCTCACTCCCATTCAAGATGGCCCTGCCGCAGGTGGAGTCCCCCTCCTCAGCCTTCTGCACTCTGGTGGAGTGCCTCTACTTCATCAGCATGTACGGCAGTGTCTTCACCATCTGCTTCATCAGCCTGGACAGGTTCCTAGCCATCCAGTACCCACTCCTGGTCAGCCACCTCCGGTCCCCCAGGAAAACCTTTGGGATCTGCTGCATCCTCTGGGTCCTGGTATGGATTGGAAGCATCCCTATCTACACTTTCCATAGGGAGGGGAAATACAAATGCTTCCACAACATGACTGACAGCACCTGGAGTGCCAAGGTCTTCTTCCCCCTGGAGATCTTTGGTTTCCTCCTTCCCATGGGCATCATGGGCTTTTGTTCCTATAGGAGCATTCACATTCTGCTGGGTCGTCGGGACTACATCCAGAGAGCCTGCATCTGGACCATCGCTACCAATCTTGTCATCTTCGTGGTCTCCTTTCTCCCAGTGCACTTGGGTTTTTTCCTGCAGTACCTGGTGAGGAATGGCTTCATCTCAGAGTGCAGGGTCAAGCAGAGCATCAGCCTGTTCCTGCAACTGTCCCTGTGCTTCTCCAACATCAACTGCTGCCTGGACGTTTTCTGCTATTACTTCGTCATCAAAGAATTCCGCATGGGCATCAAGGCCCACCGGCCCTCCACAGTCCAGCTGGTCCACCAGGACACCGTAAGCACCAGGGGTTAAGGGAAGGGACCCCTCTCAAGGGAAGGAAATCCTGATCCCAAATTCTCATAAGGAACATCCAGTGCTTCTTTGACACTCGCTAAGTACCATCTTTGTTCTTTATACCCCTAAGACTTTTCCACAGCACCTGAACGGCTGACATATGTCATGCTTGTTTGGGGTTTGCTAAAAAACCAGGTGACTTCTTCATTTCTAAGTCCAAAATGTGTGAAGCAGAAGAATCAAAAAAGAAAATGTCACTTTAAAAATCTGTTTCTCAGCTTTCCCATCTTTCTGTTCTGTTGGAAGAGTCTAGAAGGGAAGAGAGAGATGGAGAAAGGATTAGGGCAGGGAACCAAGAGCAGTTTGGTGGAGATAAGGGATAGGGAGAAATATGCCTTCAAGATGGATCAAGCTTACCCTTCTTCTCCAGACCCTTCTGAAGCTCTGTTGACAATAATCTCACAGAAATCATGACAAAGAGGGCTTTTAAGGGCTGAGCAAATTCCCTTCCGGCCCTAGAAAGGCACAAGAGGCCATCCAAACCTCCTCATGCCCCTGAGAAGGATTAGATGGAGGGAGGGGGTCCAATGGGGGCAGAGTGGAAAGGGACTAGAATTTATACCCAGGGAAGGAAAGAGACAAGACACATGGAGCTGGAACTGGACATCCTACTACCATCCAGTAGTAGTGCTATCCCAGAGCTAAGACAGCCTAAAAATAATAGCTGTCTTGAAGGTGGCCAGCCTTCTATCTTGGACAGCCTTGAACTAGTTCATCAGACCAATATGAAGGGGACGAGAAAAGATTGGTCTTAACTCGGTTCAGCCATAGCAGCATGGAGAAGCTGTCCTTATCGGGTCCTTGTTGGGCAGCTGGCACTGGTGACACCGTCTAGGACGCTGGCCAGGAATCGGAGGGGAGGAGGGGCTTTCTTCATTGGGCAGCACAAAGCTTGGATTGGAAGAGGGTGGTGAGGCGCTCGCCAGTTCCTGGAGGGAAGGAAGCTGTAGACAGCTGAATCAGTGTTGGAGCCTCAGCGGCTCGGCTCTTCTCCCCTGGCGTGGGGCTCACAGAGACAGCTGAAAGCCTCGCTTGCGATGACTCAGCTGCTCCAGAGAGTGAAGCGATAGAAGGATAAATTGTGGGGTGTTTCTGCAAGACGGAAGGAGTGGGATGAGAAGAAACCCATGAGACTTCACATGAATACGACACAGGTCTTCAGGAAGAGATGCGGGCAGCCGCAGCCCTAACCAACAGATCCCACAGGATAAGAGGCTGGGGGAGGGGTGGAGACATGGGGAGGGGTAGGGGAAGACGGGGAGGTGTGGCTATAATCTGGCACCGACCCACAGATCCCAAGCTGGAAGTGAGCAAGGATGTAGGAGAAAGGAGGAACAGGAAGGGGAGGAAGAGGAAGGGGGGAGGGAGAGGAGGGAAGGAGGAAGGGAGATGGGCAGGAAGGTTGAGACAGGGAGGGATAGGAAAGGGGAGGAGCGAGGGTAGAGGCCCAGCAGCTTCCTCCTGAGAGCCTGTCATTCCCCTTGGACTGGAGACCATGGAAGGGCCAGGGTGGCTGTGGCAGTGTTGAGGTGGCACTGTGGAGCCACCTGTGGGCCACTGAAGGGAGACTTAAGGAAGAGAGTTAAGGACCTCCACAGGGGCTGGAGGAGAGAGGTTACCAGAATCAGAGTCCCACCTCAGGGCTGGGCCTCCAGGAACCTGTCGGTGGAGACAGGGCTGTGCAGACCCAGAAGTGAGGGTCCCAGCCGAGCCAGAGATACCACGCATCACACTGAGACAGCCTGACTGTCACCTACAGCAGAGCATTTGGGACCGCTTTGGGTTAGTCCATGACTGGGTAGGTCTTGGGACCACCTCCTCCAAGTTCTCTCTGTTTACAGAGCTGTTAGCCCACCAACAGAGTCAAATAGTCCCTCGTGTGCAAGTCTGTCTGCCAGGCAGGCTTCTCCCGAGCAAAGGCTTAGCAAGCCCTGACTACCCACCATCCCCATCGATGACCAAAGCTAAAACCTGGTGTGTGTACAGCAAGACTATGGTGGAAAGGGCTTTGTGTCCCCAAGAGGATCATTATCAAAAGGGCAGGGAATCTGGAGCCATAAACTGAGGAACGGTAAGGACAAGGTCCCTGGGGGGTACAGCAGTGTCGGATTGGTGTGGTGACTCTGGACCTGAAGATAGGGAGGAATAGGGCTTGAGAATGCCCTGATTCATTCCAAAATAGTGAGTGAAGGGAAGGAAATTCTTGACTTTTCCCTTGGAGACTTACTTGGGTGTGTCCAGACTCAGGTTATCAGTCCTACGGGTCCTCAACGGGCAATTGGACCGGCAGTACAGGAAGTGGGGAGGGCCGCGTTAGAGTTGGGGTGCAGCAGATGCCACCAGTGAGGGAGGGAGGGAAATCTAGGCCTTAGTTGTGGAGAAAGCCCAGATTCCTGTTACTAACTAATTAGAGGCTGTTGTTCAACCACGAATATGACCTTATTTGTACCCAGGCTAGAAAACATCAGCTACATGTACATGAAATCTTGCAAAATTAATTGGAAAACCAACTTGATTAACATGATTTACCAAATAAATAAATTCATTCAATGCATTATGACCTTGTCTTGGGCTTCAATTTCTGGTTCCAGAGAAGAACTGGTTTCTCATGGCCCCTGCTAAGGGATTCAACAATCGTGGTCCCTTTACCAGCCCCTGGGCACCAAGTATGATGTTACAGAGTGCTATCTCAGGTGTGCAGCTGGTCTTCCCAATTCGTTAGGAGCTGGACCCTGGGGGGGTCTGGTGGCAGTCACTGGGTGCTCGGCTGTCTGTGGTAGCCACCAAGTCTCACAGACCGCACACACCTGGCCCCAGTCCTCTTCAGCTGCTCCTCCATCTTGTCCCCCACAACACTGGCTCTGTATAATGAGGGACCTAGCCCAAGAGGCCTTTTGACCACATGTCCTCCAATGGTAATGCTTCCTTCTCTGGCCAGTTACAGCAGAAATCTACCTTTCCTCATGGGGAACTCCTCCTCACCTACCACAGCCCCGATAGGTTTAGGCCTAACTACTTTTTCCTAAGTACCTCAAGTTCCGAGACATGATCTGGATGTGGAAAGCTGACCAGGGACCTCCTCATTCCTTAGCAGTCATTTTCCTGTTAACCCTAGGTACCTCATGGCTATCCCCTTGGCTCCCAGAGGATTTCACTGGAGAATGTCAGTCATGTGTCCCCTCCCTGCGGACCATTCACACTTGTCAGTGAATGGTCCCCTCCCTGAGGAGCCTTTGAAGATGAGGTCATTACAGTCACGCAGTGGAGATGCCCTGCGTTCCTGAGAACGCCCACAGGAAGATTCTATCCTCTAGAATGTTAGCATGAGTCACCAGTAATTTCAAAGATGCTTGAAATGACTGTAGGCTCAGTAGCAGCTGCAGAGACACGCGAGGATTAGAAAGGATTGGTTTAACAGATGATCGAGGAAATGACAGGCTTTCTAGCCAGGGATGAAAAGAGTGCCAACCAAGCAGGACCCATGTGCAGATGCCACCTGCATGATCCTCCATGGTCCTCAGAGAGCTAGCTACACCGTGGACAGCATCCTTTGGGGCCACAGAGAGGCTGGCTGAGGCCACTGTGAGAATCCCGTTCTGAGGACAGGGAAGTCAGGGATTCAAGAAAGTTGAACTTGAGGTGCACACCCCTGACACTAACACCATAGCACCTCTCGCTTTTCAGCAGCGCCTCCTGGCAAGGCCAGGACAGAGCTACCTACCATGAGTGCCGAAGGAAGGTGGAGCACAGTAGAGGTGAGCACAATACGGGCCTGTCCCCTCTCCCCTCTGTGAACAGTGCTGGGGGAGGGCCCTTCACTGAGCTACGCAGAAGTGAGGCCCTCTGTCCTTTGATGTCTGCAAAGGAAAGACTTCAAAGGAACCTGGTCTGGTGGGAGCATCCTGAGCTCACCTTTGAGGCCCCAGGCTGTGCCTGTGCTCCAGGGCAGTCACCTGAGAAACTATAACCGTGCTTGTCTGCATAAGGGGCAATGCTGTCATGGGGGCGGGGGGTGGGAGAGTGTGGGAGGGGTGTTGTACAGCACAGTCACAAAAAAGGCTTTTAGCGTGATCTGCAGAGTGTGGTTCTGTAAGGAGCCCTCTTCCCTAAGGATGGCTTTGGACGGTCAAACATACCCCTATGTTTCCCACCCAAGTCGCATCTTGGAAAAGGTTGCTAGTGAGGAGGGTGAGGCACTTAGGGCCGTTGTTCAGGGATAAGCCAACCCTGACTAAACCTGGGGATCTGATCGCAAGAGCTGATTCTCACAGGCAGCACCTCTCACACAAGCTGGGCCTGCCCAACAGATCAATGCAAGGGACCCAGTGCTGGTGGCCAGGGTCCAGGGAGATGACAGTGTTCCTCCCTTCCCTCTCCAGCAGAGAGGGCCTAGAAGCCAGGGCCTCTAGGATGATTAGGGAAGGGTCTAGATAGGGGATATTTTTGGAGTGGGACTCCAGCAGCATCTGGTAGGAGGAGACACCCCATAAACACACATGACAGGCCGCTGCTCCTAGGTGCTGGGAAGGACCTTTCCAGCTGCAGGAAGCCTCTGCCCTATTCTTCTACACACACACACACACACACACACACACACACACATACACACACACACACA